GGCCTGGCTTTGCTGAGAGGTTGGGAGTCTTCCTTTAGGACATCAGGCAGCGGGTGGGCGCTGTGGGGGTGACAGGCAGGTGATCAGGGGGTGAGACTCCAGGCCTGAGCTTCTGTGGTTGTGTGGCCTGTCGTGTTTAACACTCATTGAATGTGGAAGTGGCCAGATGGCCCCTAATCCCCATCCCACAGGCAGCGGGGCAGGGTGGTCCCCTCCCAGGAGTTCCCCGTCCTTTCTGCGCCCACAGTCCAGGAATCCCCCGCCAGGAACCACCCGCCATGCCCGTCGGGTGGCAGCAGTGTTGTCCTCTGGTCTGGAGAGGCGGGGAGAAGGGAGAAATGAGAATGAAGTGAAAATGAAGGCCCGCATGCTAGGAGGCAACTGGCTCACCAGCTCACCCCCACGTTCAGAGGGTCTTGGGTGCTGACCCCCTTAAGGGGTGAGGCCAGGGCCCCCCACCCCACGTGCCCCTGGGGGCTGGCCCGCCACTCAGCCCCTCCGCCTGCCCCCAGGTCTTCGCCCTGATAGTGTTCTCCTGCATCTTCGGCGAGGGCTACAGCAACACGCACGAGTCGAACCAGAGGTACTGCGTCTTCAACCGCAACGAAGACGCCTGCCGCTACGGCAGTGCCATCGGCGTGCTGGCCTTCCTGGCCTGCGCCTTCTTCTTCGTGGTCGACGTGTACTTCCCCCAGATCAGCAACGCCGTGGACCGCAAGTACCTGGTCATCGGCGACCTGCTCTTCTCAGGTATCTCCCGGCAGGTGGATGGGAGCGGCCGTGTTCCCAGGCGCTCTAGGGATCTCTGATTGGGTGGGGGGGGGCTCGGAGCTTGTGGGAGGGGCAGGGAGAGGCGCGAGGTCCCCCTGGAGCAGACAGGCTCGTGCACAGATTTTAACCGTCTGAAGCCCGCTAGTGCTGTGATGAGCATGGGGCCCTGGAGCCAGGCCTCCTGAGGTGGCACCCAGTGCCCGCCTGGCGTCTGCCTCAGCGCCCTTTCCACTCCCGGAGGCTTCTGGGAGCTGCCTGCCCGGTCTGTGGAGCTGACCCTGCCCCCCGCCCCCTCCCCAGCTCTCTGGACCTTCCTGTGGTTCGTGGGTTTCTGCTTCCTTACCAACCAGTGGGCAGCCACCGACCCGAAGGATGTGCTGCTGGGAGCGGACTCAGCCCGAGCGGCCATCACCTTCAGCTTTTTTTCCATCTTCTCCTGGGTAGGTGGGCCGGGCGGGGTGGGCCGGGCTCCCGGGGTCTTCGGGGGAGGGCAGGGAAGGGCGTGGAGGAGCCAACCTCAGCCTCCCTGCAGGGCCTGCTGGCCGCCCTGGCCTACCAGCGCTACAAGGCCGGGGTGGACGACTTTATGCAGAACTACGCGGACCCCACGCCCGACCCCAGCACGGCCTACGCCTCCTACCCGGGCCCGCCGGTGGACAGCTACCAGCAGCCTCCTTTCACTCAGAACGCCGAGGCCACCGAGGGTTACCAGCCTCCCGTTGTGTACTGAGCCGCCTGAGCCGCCGCAGGGGATGGTAACGGGGCAGGGAGGGTGCCTGGAGGGCCACCCCTGGGTCCTGGACTCCTCTCGCCCGCAAGGCGTGCCTCCAGGGGCTGCTGGCCCCTCTGGTCCCACTGGGCCGGTGGGAACCCAGGCAAAGCTGGACAGCCCCTGCCTCCCGTGCCAGAGTGCCCAGGCCCCAGGCAGCACCCACCTCCTCAGGGCATTTTTAAAGAAGAGTTTTTAGCTAGACACTCGTCACTGCTTCTAATGGTCCCCAGCCCCGCCCGGTAGCTCGAAGTGCCGCCATGCTGTTCTGATAAGTGCCTTTGTTTTCCTAAGCCCACAGGGAGCCGGGCCCCAGCCCAGGCCCGCGTGGCCACAGAGAGTTGGGGTTCTCTGCCAAAGATGAGGCCGGGGGGCTCCCACTTGCCGGTGCTGGTGTGGGGCTGGCGCTCCCTTCCTCCTCACTCAGGTCTGCCCGCCTCTGCCTCAGTGCCCAACTCAGTGCCCTCTCCGCTCCCAGAGGCTTCTGGGAACTGTCCCTCACTGGTGCCCTCCCCTGCCTGCCCTGAGGCGGCAGCCCTCTGGCTGCTACGGGGTCTGCTTGCTTGGCTGGGGTCACTCCCCTGTGCCGGTGCCTCCGGGCCTTCCCCCTGCCAGCCACGGGGCAGGGCTGGTGCCCATCCAGAGGCCACTGGGCAGCACTTCCTGCCCCTGCTCCTACCACCCCCCCGCCCCTCCCCACAGTAGGGAGGGGCTTTGCCTGACAACACCCAGCTTTATGTAAATATTCTGCCTTAGGTAGGAGGTGTGGGTGTCCCCACAGCCCCCAGGCTGTGCTGAAGGTATTAGAAAGCTTTTTGGGGAA